CGTGCCTAGTTTATTGAGTTCGTTGTATTACAAGAAATATTTCTTTTTCTTCTCCTTCCTTCTCTCTCTCTCTCTTTCAGCCAAGTTTTGGTCGCTACAAATCTCGCTCGTTTCTTGGCGTCTCAAAATTAATTTCTGGGAATTTAATCTTCATTTCTTTCAAGTGTAAATTTCACGCAAGAATTTAACTCGTCTTGGTGAGAGATATATGTTTTATTTTATTTTCTCTCTCTCTCTCCGTAATAACGAGGTCTAGGAAAATAAAGCACACAGGGTCTTTACACTAACAGCCAGATACGACGTGATACGCGTGAATCACAATATAATTATCCACTCTCTGTCTTTTAAATCTTTTCTCTCGCCCTCCCTCTTTCCCCCTCTTCCTCTCTCTCCCTCTCTCTCTTCTCCCCATCTCCCTCCGCAGCTTCCATCAACACACAAGCCTCGAGACGTCACTCCCATTACGCACGCACTTCACTTCACATGTAAATGAGCACAGTACATCAACGCGGGGACGATTAAGCTCAAGCTTTTGGGAGAACTTTCGACACCTCGATTCCCTTACGCGCCCGAACCCCCTCCCCCGGCCCCTCGGCGCCCCCTCGCTCCCTCCTCCCCTCCCTCCCCCCGTCCCCTCCTTTAAAATATGAAACGTAATAATTCAAAGGTTGTTTATTCTGCCTTTCCCGAGGGAGCGAAGGAGCGGCGCCGAGCTGGAGGGTCGGCGGCGCGCGAGCGAATGACCTGCCCTCTGTTGTTTATTTAGGCGGAGGGGGCGGGGCTTGCGAGGCCCGTGGCGATGGATGGTCCGCGATTGCCATATGAAGGGCAGCGGATTTTCTGACCGTTTCGTTGTCTTTCTCTCATGTTATTTGATTTTTTGGAGTGCTTTCGGAATAAAGGTGAAGACTGTTTCTTTAAAGATGATGGAAATTCTAGGGAGGGAGTGAAATGCGTGTATGTAGATGGGCCGAAACCGCCATGATGGCAGCTGCCAACACAGTATCTCATTGGTCTCAGCCGTGACTCCGCCTCTGATGGTGGAGGCTCCGCCCACCCGTCCTTTTTCGGTCATATAAATAGCGGCCCGACGGAGGCGTTGGTAGATTTCTCATAGCACTCGTGGATAGTTGTTGCGCATCGCTCACGGCCGCTCACACGCTCGAAAAAATGGACAAATCCACCGCCGTCAGCGAGCAGAAACCCGCTCAGAAGCCCAAGCTGTCCTTCAGCATCGACGCCATCCTCGGCAACGACGACAGCGGCAGCGTCCGCACGCCCACGCCCTCGCCCGACCCCGAGTGCCGCCCCGCCTCCTCCTGCAGCGCCACCAGCGACGTGTCCTTCGCCAGCCACGACTCCGACCGGGCCGCCAGCCCCTCGGCGGCGCCCGCGGCGAGGCCCGTCCAGGGCGCCTTGCCCGCGCAGTGGGTCCCGGCGCACCCCTACTTCCAGTTCGCCGCCGCCGTCCACGGTAAGTTGCCTGGCCTGTAGGGGCGCCCTTGGGGAGCCCTCCTCTCCGAGTGCCAATGAGTGTTATCCCCCATGCCTCCAGCCCGCGGCCGCAGTCTAACCGTCTTGCCTTCCCACAGGATCGCCGGCGCTCCCCAAGCTGCCCAGCTCGGTAGTTTTGCGCAAGCACAAAGCTAACCGCAAGCCGCGCACGCCCTTCACGTCGGAGCAGCTGCTGTCGCTCGAGAACAAGTACCGCGAGAAGCAGTACCTGAGCATCGCCGAGCGCGCCGAGTTCTCCGCGTCGCTCAGCCTGACGGAGACGCAGGTCAAGATCTGGTTCCAGAACCGCCGCGCCAAGGACAAGCGCCTCAAGGAGGCCGAGCTGGAGCGCCAGAACCGCCCTCTGTACCCGACCTACGGCGGCCTCCTGCCCATGGGCGGCATCGTGCCCTCGCTGGCCCTCCAGAGGCCCCTGGTGCCCCTCCTCGGGTAGAGCCCCGGAGAGACGCCCTTGAAGTACCTGCAGCAGCACCAGACAGCCCGGCGCCCTGAGGCCTCCTCCCTCCGTCGGCCTCCTAGTCACCCGCCGCCACGGTAAGGCTGCCCTCGTTGAAGTCGCTCAGCTCTTGCAGACTTAAAGCAAACCAATAGGCCCTTGCCATCTTTATCTTATATCTTTAGATTGAAAACACAGGTGATTGTCCCCAAGACCAGAATGTCGGAACTAACGTGCTTTTCTTTTTCTGCGCCAGGGTCTGCACCAGCTGCCTTCCTCCTCCTCGCCGGTGACTCTTCACTGCACGCTCTGCCACGCCCCCGCGCATGGCAGGAATGTTGTTCACGCCCACAAGCCTCCCACATCCACGCCCATTATGGATATCTCAGTGGCCGCCCGCTGGAAGACGGAGATATAGACTGTGATAAAAAAATAAATAAATAAATACTTTTTGTAAACATCTATATTTTAAAAAAATGCAATTTGTTGGATATACCTGTGAATATATATATATACAGTATTCATAATAAAAGATACAGATGAATTTTATGACATGTTTCTAATACCCAGTCCCAAATAGAAGATTTTTCTCTACGATACATAATTGCTTTGAAGTTAAAAAAAAAAAAATTAAGCATATGAAAATATATATGACATTGATCCAAAACTAATTGGATGCGTTAATATGAATGTTAAGCATGTAATGAGGCTATGCAAAAATCTTCCACTAATTGAAGCTGACCAAGTTTTACGTTCAATTAATACATGTAGGAAGAAAAAAATATATATAACAAATATATTCCATGTACATGAACTAAATCTTCAGATTATTAAAAAAAAAGAAGCGAAAAATAGAAATAATGAAATGTGGAATAAACGTAGAGGTGAAGATGGTAATATAAACCAATCCACTAACCTACAAACTTTTATCAATTTCCCCTAAAAAAAAGAGAAACCGGTAACCCTACTTACCTCTCCCCCTTTCCCTCCATCTTCCTCTCTCTCCCTCTTCCCCTTCCTCTCCCCCTCTCCCCCCACCCCACCCCCCTCCCGACCCACCTCTCAAATTCATCTTAAACGGATTTTCTCAAGTCTTTGTCCACTCGAACTTTTCCACGCCGAAGACATGACAAAGTTTCCTTCGAGATTAACTAAGATTAACTCCAGATTAGCATCCTGGCGAGAGGAGGCTAAGATGACAAGAGATCTGAGATGTGTGAAGATCTGTGGATGCTGTTGGATAGGCCTATATACGCGGTAGAAGTTTTTGCTTGATTTCTTTTGTTGTTTCTTCCTTTCTCTCCCTCCCTTTCTTTCTCTTTTTTGACGTTTGAATGGAGTGTTGATTTTTATTTAAAAAGTGTTGTGTTATGGTATCTGGAGGAAGAGGAGGAGCAGGAGGAGGGGGAGCAGGAGAAGAAGAAGAAGAAGAAGAGAAGAAGAAGAAGAAGAAGAAGAAGAGGAAGAGAAAAGAAGAAGAAGAAGAAGAAGAAGTAGAAGAAGAAGAAGAAGAAGAAGAAGAAGAAGAAGAAGAAGAAGAAGAAGAAGAAGAAGAAGAAGAAGAAGAAGAAGAAAGAAGAAGATGAAGAGAAGGAAGAAGAAGATGGATGAATAAGTAACGGGAAAATAAATGAAGATAAAGAAATATAGAGTAAAAAAAAAGATGGATAAAAAGATTATAGAGGAACAAAAAGATGAAAAAAAAATAGAAAATAAGAAGATGGTTGAGTAGATGACAGGAGAAAAGAAGAAAAAAAAACAATAGAAAAAAAATTGACAACGTTGATAGTAATGATAATGATAACAGCGATGATAATGATAACAATAATAATAATGATAATGTTGATTATAATAAGAATATATCTATCATATTTATTATTATTACTATTGTTATTATGGCTTATTGTTGACATTATTATTATTGCTATTATTATTTCTATTATTATCATTATCATTATTTTTATTATTGTCATTGTCATTATGTTTATTATCAATATTAATATTATTATCATAGTTATCATTATTATTATTATCATTATTACTATTATTATTGTTATTAGGATAATACGAATAATAACAATAAAAATGCTATAAATAAAGGATAACACTAATAACAAAAATAATGAAAATAATGATCAAATAGAAAAATAATGATGATAGTAACAGCAACAATAAAAATAATAATGATTATGAGAGCAATAATCATCATTATTATCATTATTATTGCTGTTATTACTGTGTCATTCCTTATTGTCATCTTTATTATTATCTTACTATTATTATTATTATTGTTGTTGCTGTTATTATAATTATTATCATTATCATTACTATTATTACTATTGTTGTTGTTATTGGTATTATTATTATTGGTTATTATTACTATTGATTATTATCAGCAATATTATTATATATATTGTTTCTGTTATTAATATTATTATAATTATTACTACTACTATTATTATGATAATTATCATCATCATTGTTATTATAATTACTATTATAATTGTCATCATAATTATTATTAGTAGTAGTATGACTATTATTATTATCATTGTTATTATCACTCTCTTTGTAATTATCATTATTATCATTGTTATCATTATCATTATCATTTCATTATTATTAACATTATTATTATTATTATCATTATCATAATAATAATAGTAATAATTATTACTATTATTATTATCATTATTATCATTATTATTGTTGTTGTTGTTGTTGATAATTCTTATTGTTATCATTATCATTATCCTTATTATTATCATTATTACTATTATGATCATTATTTTTACTATTATCTTTATCATTATTATTGTGATTATTATTGTTATTGTTATCATTAACATTATGTTACTTTTTTGTATCACCATTCCCATTATTATTGTTATTAATATCACTGTTATTATTATCATTATAATAATAATAATTATTATTATTATATTATTATAGTTATTGTTATTATTGTCATCATTATTATCATCATTATCATTATCATTATTACTATTATTATTATCATTATCATAATAATAATAGTAATAATTATTACTATTATTATTATCATTATTATCATTATTATTGTTGTTGTTGTTGTTGTTGTTGTTGATAATTCTTATTGTTATCATTATCATTATCATTATCCTTATTATTATCATTATTACTATTATTATTATCATTATTATCATTATTACTATTATTATTATCATTATTATTGTGATTATTATTGTTATTGTTATCATTATCATTATCATTTCATTATTATTAACATTATTATTATTATCATTATCATTATCATTTCATTATTATTAACATTATTATTATTATTATTATTATCATTATTATCATTATTATTATTAATATTATCATTATTATTGTGATTATTATTGTTATTGTTATCATTATCATTAATTCCATTATTATTAACATTATTATTATTATCATTATTACTATTATTATTATCATTATTATCATTATTACTATTATTATTCTGTTATATTAATTATCAATATGATTACTATTATCTTAATGTTTATAATTGTTGTTCTTCCTCTTCATGATCAGTATCATTATCATCGTCATTACTATTTTCATCAGTATCATTATCATTGTTATCATTTCCATCATCATGAATTTGTGCGTCATAGTTATGAGGATGTAGATTATTATATTAATCACCATAGTGATAATGATAGCAACGATATCTATAATAAGTATTAGATGGGTAATTAGTATTTCTTAATCACCAACCTTAGATTCATTATCAACATAATCACCATCACAGCAATAATCATAATCATCATCATCACCATCACAATAATCATTCTAATTATCATCACCATCATCATTCATTATCATCACCATCATCACCACACATTCATTATTATCTTTTTACGAACCTCATTCACCAGAAACAAAACAGTGTTACCAAAGTCGCCAGCTCCATCTCCCCCCAAAATCACAGTTGCCACACATGCAGTTATTATGACAATTATCAGTATTACCATCGCGTCGTAAACAGTTACACAGATCCGTAAGATTGATGTTATAATAAAAATCTAATTTCTTTTTCTGTTTCTTTTTTTGTTACCCTTAACTACTCCCTATTTTATGTAATCATTCTTGACTCTCCTTATCAGCAGGGTTGACAATCGCGCGGTGGTAATAACATGCTATTAAGGAAAATCAACTTCTGTTTTGTTGTCATGGAAACGGCGTCGGCGCGGGGGGGAGTGGGGTGGGGTGGGGGGTAAGGAAGAGGGGGGGGGTGTAGTGAGCTTTGTTATCATTTAAAGTTGGAAGAAAGAAAGGTTTGTTTTATCGGTGGTGTCAAAGGCAATCATTTTTATCAAGTGTGTTGGAACGGTTAGAGTAATTGTGAGGGAAGGGGGGGTAGGGGAGGGAGGGAGGGAGGAGGGGAGGGGAAAACGTGACAGCATTTGCGCCAGGAATGGTAATATTAGTAATAGTTGTAAAATATAAGACTGACAAGGGCTGTTCAAAGATTTACTATTATATAAACAACAATTAGAAACAATAAGAACAATAATAACACTTAATACTCGATACAATTAATAACACAAGACCAGTTAGTTTGGAACACTCGATAACATTAACATTAAATCCAGTAGCTGTATTACTAACTGACATTAATTACACCGGCGTCTGCAGTGTGCCAACATAACAATTATGACAGGAAGTGGCAAGTAATTATGCTGATGAATGGCATGTACGTATTTTTACAGATTTATGGCGATTAATTTGTTATGGCTGTAAAGTAACTATTTTTTGTTGATTTTTGTTGCCTTTCTGTTATACATATATATTATATATATATATATATATATATATATATATATATATATATATATATATATATATTATACAAGATGTTTGTTACGCAGAAAAGTTGATGTGTATCCCCTCACTCTCTCTCAATATCTATCTCTATATCGACTTTATGCATCCATCTATCTAAATCACCCTCTCTCTCTTCCTCTCCCTCTCCCTCCCTCTTCCCTCCCTCTTTCTCTCCTTAACTCCCTCCCTCTCCCCCTCTCCCTTCCTCCCTCCCTCCACTCTCCCTCTCCCCCTCTCTCCCTTTCCCTATAACTACCGAATCGAGAAGAAATGACCATTCTTATATTTAACATTTCCTCAAAATCTCCCTTCCTCCCTCCCTCCCTTCTTCCCTTCCACCCTCCCTCCCTCCCTCCTTCCCTCCCTCCCCTCCCTCCCTATAACTACCGAATCGAGAGGGAACGACCATTCTTAATATTTCCTCAAACGGTAAAAAAAACGCAATTCCGGAAGAGAGACAAAGATACAACTGGCGATAAAGGAAAGAAAGAAAAAAAAGAAGAAAAAAAAGGTGGAGACAGGAAACAGACAAACGTTCAGAATGCAAATCGGGAATGGAGCAAAATGGAAGAGGTCAGCGGAGGTGAAGTGAGCGAGCTGACGCCGAGAGAGATGACTCTGAAGTGAGTGAAGTGAAGTGAGGATGATGCGTTTTTGGGCGTCGAGGAAATGGTTAAATTGGCGAGAAAGTT